ATATGAAACAGGGAAGTACCGCTGTGTAATCCATTTATTTCAACAAAGTAACTGTATTCTAAATACCACCTTTTAAAACGGTAACTGTAACGGAAAACAGTTACTCATATTTTGTATTTTAAATACATGTATTTCGTTAAATACATGTATTTCGTTACTCCCCAACACTGTTTACTGGTAGTTGATTCTGTCTATTGTTGCTAATCTTGGAGCTTCCTCCTCATGACTGAAAGTGTATAAGACCCATTTAAACCTCAGAAAAAAGTTGTCATAGGAATAAAAAGATAAAATAACATGTGGCTAAACACTAAATACACTTCTACCCTAAAAATGATGGAAGGAGCCTTTTCTTGGTCGCAAATCTAACACATGGATTTTAGTTTTAGCCTGCATCCAAAAATACTGCGTTTGTAATTTGAAACTTTAGTTTGGTTGTCACAACACTTTTTATGGAAACACTTTTTATGAAACACTGCATTATTCCTGCTGAGATAAGAGCTCGATAAAGGTGGGTGTTTTTCTCTGAACCTTTCAGCGAGGTTTTTGAGTTCACAATGCTTTGTCTGCCAGATGAAAACGTACTCAAATTTAATCTACACACGTGGCTTAACAACCTGATGTGGCTTTGCTTGCATCACGAGCTTCCAAACCAGACCCTAAATGGACATTTACGCCTCGGGTCTAATATGTGCAACAAGGCTGATTATGTACTGAATCTAAACTCTGAAATATGACTGTGTGAGAATCATCGACAGTATATAAACAATCTGTTTTTAGAGCGTCGTCTGTCATGTGTAAGCACAAGCCAAGAAGTGTAGCCGCTGCTGCTGTACTAACCTGCTGCTCAGCTTAAAGCTTGCATTCTGTTTTCCTGCAAATGTGCATATTTGTCTTACTTAAATGTTTCAGATCAAACACATTTTTATATTCAACGAAGATAACCCGAGTTGATATTAAATGCAGATCTTAAAAATGATGATTTCATTAGTTAGGGGAAAAAAGCTATCCAAACCTACCTGGCCATTTTTTTCTTTTTTTGCACCACATTCGACGGCAAGAACTGCAATCAAGTGTTTGCAATAACTAAAAGTACTCTGTCTCGCTCCTCTTTGCAGAAATAATCTTCAATGATTTTTTCAATAGTGAAGTATTACAGTTGTTATAGTAACAATACTAGTATATGCAACACCTCCAGTTGCATGTTTTTGGCATCTTGATGCAAACATTTACTTTGCAGAGTTACGACCAGCGATGGGAAGTTATTTGAAAATAGACGTAAGAGCAACTCAGTGCTGCTGAGTCTTTGTGTTTTACTTGCATCTATCTGAAAGAGCGAGTGTAAACACAAAAAATGATTTTATTTTATTTGCTGGAATATGCAAAAAATAGGTTTAAATGTTAAACCAATTTCTTCCAGTCAAAGACTGTAGCATATAATATAATTATATATTTATAATTTTTGCTTGATGCCATGTGCATAAAGTTAAAAGATTAAAATTAATAAAACAAGTTTTAAAAAGAGACTATTTCATTTGATCCAATTTTATATGATAGGTTATGCAGAAAAAATAAAACTGGGATGAAAGGTCCATTGCTTCAATACGTATTCAGGTTGTGTTTTACCTTTTTAAAAAGTAACTAACTAATAAAGCAACTAATTACTTTTGAAAATAAGTAATCATTAAAAAACTGGGATTACTTTAATGGATAAGTAATCAGTAATTAGTAATTGTTGATTTCAAGTAACTTGACCAACACTGGTTACAACCGTAGATGACCACTATGAGCAAGATAAATAGTAAATGCTAAATAAGTGATGTTTGGAGACCTTTTGTATTATTTTTTCACATGTAGAACAGAACGACATTGAATAGAATGTATTTTTATTGTCATTACAATACATGTATTATCCATCCATCCATCCATCCATCTTCATCCGCTTTATCCGGGGCCGGG